ATGGCTTGAAAGTTCAGAACACAGGCCACAGAGTAGGAGCTAATAAAATGGGATGGTACTGTGTGGTAACATTTGTGGAATTATACGGACTGATGCAGTTTTCCCCGAGGGGAACACAATTCCCAAGTTCTGATGAACTGTCCTAGATGCCTGTAGGTACATGTATTTAAAATAATGAAAACACAGAATTCATTCTCTGAATGTAGACGATGGCAAGTTCAGAGTCATCCCAACCACAGCCGTTGCCTAGGGAAGCCTGCGCCCTGGCTGATCCTAGTTTCACATTTGTAAATTTCTCATCGAAGGCCCTTAGCTCTACTTACGTTTCCATTTTAAGCACCAGGCTTTCTTTCCCGTATCTTATTCTGGCTCTCTCGCTCGCTCTCTCTCTCTTCACCTTGGGGTACATGATCCTACTCCTAACATACTTTTGAAGTGCCGTATTAAGAAAGTTAGCTTCTCATACATAGGATAGTCCTTTGAGTAGCCACAGATTCACATCTCGCTTAAAAAGCAACTATGGAGGTGCCTGGGGGGCTCGGTCGGTGAAGCATCCGCCTTTGGCTCAGGGCATTAATCTCGGGGTCCTGGGATCGAGCCCCGCATCAGGCTCCCTACTCATCGGGGAGTCTGCATCTCCCTCTCCCTCTGTCTGCCGCTCCCCCTGCCTGTGCTCTCACTCTGTCAAATAAATACATAAACTCTTTAGAAAAAAAAAAAACAACTTCTTAAAAAATCTTAAACTCACAAGTTCAGAGATAAAATTATTACGAATTTCAAGATGGTGACAGCAGATCTTTAAACCCACTGTGGGTCCTTCTGAGCAGGGGGCCCATCAGGCGAGCCCTGCTCAGAAATACCCTCTTGTATACCCAGATATTATCTTGGAGGAAGAGGGGAGAGAAGACATTTTCTGCTTTGCCTGAAATGAGACTGTCTTGATTATTGGATCCTACTTACAAAAATGAAATAATAAAGTAATTACCTCTTAAAAATTATTTGTTCCGGAGATTCTTTGCATAAGATTCCATTGTTTGCTGAGAGAAAAAGCAGAAGTCATTGTATGTGGATAAAGAAAATTGTTAGAATGTAGGGGAAGCCTAGGGGATTGGCACTAGGAAGCGGGAAGCCTTCAGAAACCATGCTTCTGCTTTGGATTTCTAGGCTCTTGGGGAGTCTCAGTCTGGCATGTTGCCTTTCCCTTCCTCTCTCCTGAGACCTGCCTTCTCTGCTTCTCAGGGTGCACATGACCCGACATGGTAGCCCCTCAGTTCAGCCAAATGGCACAAAGGATATACCTGTTTTTTCTGGTGGACAGAATATAGAATTGGTCCAATGTGTATCTGGATCCGTCTCTGGTCCAACCATTGATCACGGACAGGGGGTGAACGCCAAAGCCTGGAAGCTCGGGGACTGGACCAGCACTTCCTGAAGTTTTCTACTACTCTGCCTGTTGTACTTGATTAAATGTCCCGTGCATAAAAATAGTAATAGTTAGGGCACCTGGGTGGCTCAGTCGGTTAAGCATCTGCCTTCGGCTCAGGTCATGAGTCCGGAGTCCCAGCATCAAGTCCCGCATCGGGCTCCCTGCTCATCCAGGAGTCTCCTTCTCCCTCTGACCCTCCCCCATCTCATGCTCTCTCTCTCTGTCTCTCTGTCTCTCTCTCTCTCTCTCAAATGAGTAAATAAAACCTTTTTAAAAATAACAGTTTATAATCACTTTACGGTTACGGAGCCTGTGCTGTGTACCAGGGTCTTTGTTAATCATACGTTCCTCGTCTAGTCTCAACAGTAAATGCTCAGAAGGACGTGAAGAAAGTGGCCTCACCGACATGCTAAGACCGTTTTCCCAGATGATCTGGACAATGGGGAGTAAAGGAAAGAAAACCCGGGTTCATCAGAGCCCAGAGCTATACTCTTAGTAAAGCCAGAACCTAATAAACAAAGGCTGTTTTTTTTTTATTAATTTGATTTTTATAAGTAATCTCTACAGCCATCGTGGGGCTCAGTCTCACAGCCCCGAGACCAAGTTTTGCACGCTCCACCGACTCCGCCAAGCAGGTGCAGGCTGCTGTTAGTATATACTCTGCTGAAACACTGTTACCACTCTCTTAGAGTTCCCATTTCCCTGTGGTTTCGCGTTGGCTGCCATCAAAGAGTTGAAGAAACTTCCTACCGATCCTTGATTTTGTTCAGGGAACTCAATTACAACGATCGTAGCCATTACGCACAGCAGATTCTCAGCCATGTTTGCCCTTAGTTAATGAGTGACTTTCAGAAGAGCGGCTGTGTACTCCCCAAGGTGATGTGCATCATGCCACAGAAATTGATGCCAGATGGATCCGACCTGCCTGGGAAAACAGGCTTCCTGGAGTCTTCAGGATGTGTTTGGTTTTCCGTAACTGTTTCCAGCCTGCCCCCTGCTGGCTGATAGAAGGGGCCATCGCTCATCACAAGGGACGGTAATGCCAGGAAGAAGCCGCAGCTCCAGGGAGGTCTCAGTTTCACGGGGCCTCAGTCCAGTTGGAAAGGGCCGAGTCTCCCCTCCCCGTATTGTACCAACCCCCACGTCACCTCCACAGAGGAGTCGGACAGGGTTCACATCATTTTTTCCGACATCTACTTGCTGCATCGAAAGGGCTACTCTTGTTGCTTACCGATGTCATGACTGAAATCTCAATCCAAGATGAAATATGTAAACGTTGGAAAGCGGGTAAGTTAGATGAATGGCGGTCATTTTTGTACCCCTCCTCCCTGGCTTTCCTCACCTGTACTCTGCAGAGGACTTACTGATTTCGAATGTGGAAGAACTAGGCTCTGTCCTGAGTAAAAGTCAAATGGTTAGGGTTACTTGTTTGGACTGTTTTTAATGTTTACCTGAAATGCTCATTGAGGTGCCAGCTAGCCGCAAGTTTATTAAGTCCACTTTATGAATTCACTTTTTTCTTTCTTTCTTTTCTTTTTTTTTTTTTTAGTGAAGAAAGTTAAATTTAAAAACTAAGCATAAGGTGGGTCACCTGGGTGGCTCCGTTGGATAAGCAGTCCGACTTGGTTTCAGCTCAGGTTGTGATCTCAGGGTCCTGGGATCGAGACTTGCGTCAGTCTCCGTGCTCAGTAGGGAGTCTGCTTGAGGAGACTCTCTCCCTCTCCCTTTGCCCCTCCTGCACTTCCTGTGTGCGTGCCCTCTCTCTCAAATAAATCTTTTGGGGCGCCTGGGTGGCTCAAGTCAGTTAAGCGTCTGCCTTCGGCTCAGGCCATGATCTCGAGGTCCTGGGATCGAGCCCCGCATCGGGCTCCCTGCTCAGCAGAGAGCCTGCTTCTCTCCCTCCCACTGGTGCTCGCCCTGCTTGGGCCCTCTCTGTTTCTCTCTGTGTCAAATAAATAAATAAAAAATCTTTGAAAAAAAAATAAATAAGCACAAGGTGATTTCTATATTAACTAGTATATTCATCAGCTTTCACAATTAAAGCTAATGCGAAAATAACGTCTAAGCCATGGAAATAAGCTATAAAACTGCCTGTGCGGATACACGAATGCACTCAAGGGAGAATAATTATTTCACAAAACAAGTGTCAGTTGTTTTTATTCCTGTTAAGTTTTCTGAAAAGTAAATATTACCCTTGTTTCCAAGGAAGCACACATTTAATTGTGGAAAATCTAGAGAATACAAATACAGATTTAGAGTAATATTGACTACGCTTATAAAGTTGATATGTGTGATGTATGTATCACATGTCCATCTAGGTAAATGTAGTGTATAATTTACTTTCTGGAGATTTCTATCTCAAATTTTAATACAAAGCATTATACAAAAGGCCATAAATATGACCTAACCAAATAACTGACAGTGACTTAATTGCTTATACAGTGAATGAGCTAATACTATTAAATATACATAAGATTCCTTTTTGCATATGTGGCTTCCAGACATCTTATCTGTGACCCAGACGGGTGAATATCATTTTAGCACATAATAGTGCCCACTTGTGAATGAGAACAGAACAAAGATTATATTGGATATTGATGTTTAGTTACCTGCTAGGCTTTGTAACCACCTCAGGGACATCCCCACCAATTGTAATAACCAAACTGTTTGAACTTAGGTCTCAATGAATTTGTAAATTCTGACACACCATGGGCCTCAGTGCTAGATGTTCAAATGCACGAAGAGAAGGATGTGTGTAATGTTAATATAGGAGGTTTTTAAAAACCCATCTGTTAGAGCTCATACTTGCAAGGAAGTGTTTTAGTCACCATGGTTGCCTAAGAGGTTATGAATGGTCTCCATCATCTAGGGCTGTAGTTTTGTGAATGTATTTACTCAGCAGCATTCATTGAGCGTTGTGTGTGTTGGCATCTCCACAGGCCCTGTGGATGTACTAATGGATGAGACAGGTAGACTACAGTCTCGTGAGCGAGAGACATGACACCCAGCCATTGAGACAGGAGTGCAAGCCGTGAATGGAAGGTGGCACAGGGTCATAGAGGTTCCTGCCCCACCCAGTGCCTGTAATCAGGACGCTTGTAAAACCAGCATGATTTCTACGCTGAATACTGGCAGTGGAATTCCAGGGTGTGGGTGGGGCACTGAGAAAGAGAACAGGGTCCTAAGAGATGAAATGAGGAAGCAGACATGACGTCCAGTTGTCTTCTCTTACCCCAGACGTTAAAGAGATTCGCAAAACAACGGCGTGCTTCTCATCAAATTTTTTGTTGGGGAAGATAATGTTTTTCATAAAGATACATGATATAAAAAAAAAAAAAAGAAAGTGCTTTAATCGGGATGTATCATGGTCAAGGTTAGAGTCAAGGCCGAGGATACGTTAAGAGTCAGACTGCCCTTTGAAAAGCCCCAGCCTTGAGCAGAGGGAATGGCATGCAGTAGGTACTCCGTGAATGCTTACTGATAACTGACTGACAAAATGATTGTTGCATAATTGAAGGATCCTGGTTGAGGTCTAAACCTTGGACAGCTTGCCAATTCATTATCTCACTTCCAGGAGCGCCTGAGTCATCCCGACAGGAGAGTCCAGGCGGCCAAGGCATACCGAACCTGCCTCAGATACTTGGGGTGAGTACTTTGACAAGGACCATACTTGGATTTTAAAATTGGGATCCATTTGTTTATATCAAATTCGTTCGATTTTAAAATTACTCAGTTTGCATATGCATTGAAACGTGTACCTACATACACACACTCACAGACTAAAAGTTTAATTGCCGTGGCTTAAGGTAAGTTAGTTAGCATTTTTTTTTCATGGTTCGTGCTGACTGGTTCCAATCCAGTCTCTCTACCCCTTGTAACTGTGTGACCTTGGCAAGGTTACTTGACCTCTCTGGGCCTCAATTCCTGATCTATACATTATGGGTGATGATTACACCTAGATTACAGAATGCGTATGAAGCTACATGGGTTGATACGCGTAAGGAGCATAGAATACTCTCTGTCATATAGAACTGTGTAAATAATTGTGTTGTCATTATCCTAAACCATAAAATACCAAGATTAAAAGCATTTAACTTACCACATCAAACAGTCTGTAAAATAGTTGTTAGCACGTACAGCATAATGATTAAAATGAAAACGTTTTAAACGTTTCAAATGGAGGTACGTGGCTGGCTCAGTCAGTAGAGTATGCGACTCTTGATCTTGGGGTCGTGAGTTTGAGCCCCACGTTGGGTGCAGAGATTGCTTAAATAAATAAACATTTTTTAAACGTTTCTGAAGCCAAATGAGTTAATATATGCTAAGAGCAGAGAATACCGTGTTGAAACTATTCTGTTGTTGCTGTTTTTAACCCTGATAATATTAAAAGCATTGAGATTACTAGGTCAAACTAATGAGTTAGTTTACTGTGTGTCATGAAGGTTTTGATTATTTTCAGTGTTTTAAATATGTGGATAGGCGTGAACTACGAAAGTGAGGATGAAGTTAAGTGGAGAGAATGGAAATGTAGTCATTTTGGAATACCTTTTCTGTCTTCAGATGAAAAATGCATCCTCAAGGAACCCAGTTCCACGGAACTGAATACATTTTAAAATCTCATTCATTTTTCTTGCAATTTACGGATCTGGACTTATTAAAATGTTCATATCTTTGAGCTAATGGGGCATAACAAATTTAATTTGCAAAACAAAGATGACATGGCTGGAACATGATCCATAATCACTTTCTTTCCCTTCAACTTCTCGTTGTAGGCACTCTGTTGGAAAGGCGAGTCAAGCGTATTTTGTAACTTCTTAGAACTTTCCAGATGAATAAGGTCTTAGAAAAACATAAAGGAATAGAATTTTGGAACAAAACAGTTCCTCCGAATCTGTCTTTTACAGTGCTTCTCAGTTGTGTGGGGCACAGCCCCGCCGCCCTTGGCAGGGTTGTTCGGAATGTGTGGGGGTGCTCTGGGTTCAGTGTGATGGGACACGTGTGACAAGCCGGGGGAGCTGGCGGAGCACTGGGTGGAGAGGACAGGCTGATGGGAAGCTTCCCGTGGGGAGCTGGCGACTGCCAGGGCAGCCCTGGCCGCACGCTCCGACCGGTGACCTAGCTCTAGCCTTGGCCGCACGCTCCGACCGGTGACCTAGCTCTAGCCTTGGCCGCACGCTCCGACCGGTGACCTAGCTCTAGCCTTGGCCGCACGCTCCGACCGGTGACCTAGCTCTAGCCCTGGCCGCACGCTCCGACCGGTGACCTAGCTCTAGCCTTGGCCGGCAGCTTCCCCGAGAAGAGTTGGGCCCTCGCCTCCCAAGCGGCAGCAAATCTGCCAGTGCTGCGTTGGGACACAGCCAGCCCACTGCCCTGCTTGCCGCGGGTCTCTGAGATCTTTCCGGAAGGCGGATTGCAGCAGCACGTCTCCGAGGCTGCTGGTCACTGAGGTGCCTGAGGCCCGCTTAGCGCCTGCCTGCAGTCTGATCGCTTGCCGCGTCTGCAAAAGGTGACCCGAGTTCAGGGTTGGTCCGCTTCTGGGGTGTCTTGACTTCATGGCGTCGTTTCTAAAGATCGTTCACGTTTCACATTGGTGTTTTGGCAGAGTCTGTGGCGAGAGGGTCAAAGCTCGTCCCTGTGAAGGGCCATTTAGTCTGCCTGTAGCAGGGATGATGGTGATTAGTTCTGGTGGTAGTAATTACAGCAGCAGAAGCAGAGGAGGGAGTGGGAGGTGGGGGAGGACTAGAGCAGCGGTCCTGATAACGTTAATATTTACTGGTCACAGGGCTAGGGACTGCCGCGTAAACGCTCATGCGCTACTTACCGCGCACGACAAGGAATGGATCAGTGGGATTCTCATTTTGCAGACAACATACGGAGCCGTTCAGTAAAGCTCGTGAATGATAGAGGTAGAATTCAGACCTAGGGTTGAGGACTCCCTCACACCGGCTCCCAGCCCCTGCCCTTAGCATCAAGACCCGGGCTTGATTATTCCGGATATGCTGCTTGTAGAGTGTAACTTGTCACTACGTAGCTGATCTTTGAAGCCTGGATGTCCCCACCCACAGAAAGTCTGTGATGATAATCACCAGTCTGACTTTCTCATGGGGGTATGTGAGGGAGAAGAAAAAGATGTTGTTGAGAACGTCTTTTGTAAACTGTAAACCCTCCATCAAGAAAGGCTGGTTATTCTGTTACTGGTATTAAACATTTCGTGTTCTAGAAATGAGAGCACGTGGTTCTAAAACTTTGACAACAGCAAGTGCTATAAATTCGTGCTCAGGAATTATGATCCCAGATTGTAGGAGCCGGAGGTCATCCACTTCATATTTATGAACTCAACCCTGCTGCGTATTTAATATCATTTGGGGGAGCTTTTAAAAATGGTTGTTGCCCAAGATTCAGTCCACTTTTGGAAATCAGATTTAAGTGGTCTGCTGTAGGACTTAGGCATCTAAGTACACGTAGACTAGGACTTAAGTATATGTAGATATGCATGCCTCCATACTTGTACCTGTAAGTGCGTGTATGTGTGTGCGTGTGTGTGTGTGTGTTTTCTGTCAGGGTGATGCTAATGTGCAGCCAGGGGGCAAAATGGCTGGACTGAACAATAAGCTTCCTTCTGATGTGCGGGCTAACCGTATGTTTACGAAGGACGGCTCCCACGGACACGTGTTGCGCACTGTCCCACCTGGTATAGCCCAGTCTTTCACTCTCAAGTGTCGTTTAGATGGTAAATTATGTATATGTTGTAAAAATTATATAAATTATATAGTCCCCTACTGATGAGGAACTGAGGCTTTGGGCGGCTATTTTCCTTTTAAAAGGAGTGAAATCGGGATGGGTTAGCCTGGTGATGGGTATTAAAGAGGGCACGTTCTGCGTGCCGCACTGGCTGTTATGCACAAACAATGAATCATGGAACACTACGTCAAAATCTGATGATGTAATGTATGGTGATTAGCATAACAATAAAAATTAAAAAAAAGAATCAAATACCAGATTGCTTTAGAGTCACGTTGAACATCTTGTTGGTAAGCAGGATGTTTCTTCGGATTCTTAAGCTGAGAGCGTTTCTTAGTTTTTCTACGATAATAAGAACTCTTTAAAATAGAGGTAGGCTCTGTTTCCATGTGAGCCAACAAAATTTTTGCAATACCGAGGTCTCCCGTCCCACCGGCTTCATTTATGTAGAAAACAGTTGGTCGTCGTTTATAATTTCTGAAAGCACCATCTTGTGAATACTGCCCTTTGTTATTTAGAAAATTAACTTGAGAAAACAACAGTTTAGTCAACTGTCTCAATACTGGTTTTCTGAACATTACACGTGGCCCAGCAGGGCCACAGCATGCCTAATGACAACATTTATGAAAACTCGAACCAAAAGAAAATTTGGCTCTGACCAAGAGATCTGACTTACCGTTTCTCTGACAGGCAGCGATGCGGTCTAATGAAGAGCTGAGTCTTTCTCAGCCAGTGTCGGAGTTGATTTTGGCATTAAGGTCAGCATTACCCAGAATATCCATGCCTCAGAATAGCTAGGATACTTTCCAGCCTGTAGCCTGGCTTTTCAAGGGTACACAGGAAGTCTGTATTCAGTACACATACAGATCCATGCATGTGGGCGTTTTGCTGTGGTAATAGTAAGACTATCGTCTCATCCTTGGGCATATTGTTATAGGATGACCCAGTCAGAAGTGCAGATCTAGGAAAATAACACGTCTCACTTGAAGTCCCAAGAGTGACACCAAGGATGGTAGGAGTTCCTGTCACTCAGCATTAATGACTGTATGTGCCTGTGGAATCCGGGGATTGTAGAATGCCCTGAAGATTCAGTACAGTACCGCATAGGAGACTGGAACGGTCACAGTGTTGTTCGCGTATGGTCGTGGAGGAAAGTCAGAGGTTGATTTAATTTTTTTTTACCACTCCAGGATAGGTAACATACAGTGTTTTGTTAGTGTCTGGTGTACAGTACAGTGATTCAACAGTCCCACACATTACTCGGTGCTCGTCATGATAAGTGTGCTCTTCATCCACTTTACCTCTTTCACCAGCAAACCCCCCACCCCCCGACCTCCCCGGTGTGCCTCTTCTTTCCCCCGTGTTCATTTGTTTCTTAAATTCCACATACGAGGGCGCCTGGGTGGCTCAGTCGGTTAAGCGACTGCCTTCGGCTCAGGTCATGATCCTGGAGTCCCGGGATCGAGTCCCGCATTGGGTTCCCTGCTTGGCGGGGAGTCTGCTTCTCCCTCTAACCCTCCCTCTAACCCCCCATGTACTCTCTCTCTCAAATAAATAAAATCTTTAAAAAAAATTCCACATATGAGTGAAATCATACGGTGTCTGTCTGACTGACTTATTTTGCTTAGAATAATATCTCTGGCTCCATTCACGTTATTGCAGATGGCAAGATCTCATTCTTATAATTACTTAATTTAAGAAAGAAAAGGTGAAGAAATTTCCCCATTTTCTGAGGAAAGGGGACGATGAAGAGAGACATTTAATCCGAGTGTCTTTCTGATTCTTCCAAGGCATGCTGGGAGTCTGTCCTCTGTATTCTTAGGGCACCATGCATATATCCTTTCTTACGATGCATGCTGCAGTGTAGTAAAATTGCTGTTTTGCAAGTCTTTAGAGCAGAAACC